GTAAACTCTACTGATGAACCCGAGTTGCACAGCAGGGCCCTTTATGGGAAAATAACCGATATTTTGGAATCTCAGGCTCTCACCCCGGCAGGAATTAGGCTAAATCATTGCTGTTGCCCGCTGCACAAATGCACAGGCCGCCCTTCTCCGAGCAGAGGGAGGTAAAGAGCGATTTTCTCTGCAGCCTCACGCTCCTCCTGTGCTCACCTGGCAGAGCAGAGCAGTTGTCGCCAGCGCCCCAGGGACGGGACCAGACTGCAAAGTGATTCGGACAAATTGGTGACTTGGCGCAGCACCAGCCGCCCCCGATTCAATAAAGAGAAGGACAAATGGCTCACTCGGAGGAGAAGGTAAACACATCACACAGGGGTGGAATAACCGGCGAAGCAGAAAGGCTCATGCCAGCTTCATTTTATGGGGAGAAACTTGCTACCTTTTTTAGTTGCCCCCCCCCCATATAAACACACACATAAACACACCTGCATAGATAGACCCGGATATATACATGCTTATATACATATACACACAAATATATAAGTGCACACAAATATATAAGTACACATAAATAGATCCAATTTCCTGAGGACTGCAGTCCTCTTCATCCTAGTCAGCTAAGATTTTATTGAAGCAATTATGCCTAATTGATTTGGTTTCCTCTACATACAGTTCTATATAAATACTTACACACATGGATATTTAATCAACACACGCACATCCATATTTCGTTTTCGTCCTGGCTCCCCGGCCCTTCCTGAGCTGCGGTGCTCGAGCACAGGCCCCTTTCCGTGGGCAGACACCATTGGTATGCACGGCGGGGCGCCCGCCGCACGGGCCAGCGCCGCACACAGCGCCGGGAGTGATTCATGCCTGCATACACGGGGATATTTAGTTAATAACTGAAGTGCCAGTAGATGATGCTGAAAAATATATCACACTACCTCGGTTTTGCAGGCCCCATAAAGCTTGTTATTACTGCAAATGCCTTTTTCTGATTGCCATTCATCAGGTCCTAACACCTTTTGTCCTTTCCCTCTGCTTCAAACCGATTCGGATTTTGCCTCGTGTTCTCCGATTTCGTTGTTTGGTCAGGGAGCAGTAGGTGGTTTGACTTGGTGCAGGAGTTATTGTTAAAAGGATGCTTATTTCACGTGTGTGAATGTACAGCTGCTACCGTGTCAGTAAATTCAGGTGACAAAGGGCAAATCGGGATGAAAGCAAAAGCAGTTTCAAGTGTTATTGCGGGAGGCCGGACACGTGTGGCTGCACTTGGCCCGGACCTTGGCACGCTTCCCTCCTGGACGGCCGTGCCCTCAGACACAGCACGGATGAGCACGCGGCCCTGGCAGCCCTGGGCTTGTTGTGTCCCTCCTGCAGGAACCAGGTATTCGTGATAGTGGGGGATTAACCCGTGCAGACGTTTAGGGGACACAAAGATGCCCGTATTGGTTTCTCTGTCCTTAGCATGTTCCCGAGAGCGGTACCCCACGTGCTGGGCATCTCAGTGTCCCCAGCGACTGCGCCAGAGCTGGGGCTCCTGCAGCTCCCTGCAGGAGCTGGGCAAGGGAGCAGCCCAGGATGGAGCAGCGGCCGGGACAGCCCGGCTCTCCCGCCCGGGATACAGGCAGAGATGGGAGCTGGGAGGGACCAGCTGCTCCTGCTGCAGGGCATGGCCTGGGCTTGACGTCCTGCCAGGCCTCTCGTGTCATGGGGGCTGTAAAACCGGCATTAGACAGAGCAACTGGAAAAAAAGTTATTTCAGATGCATCAGTGAAATGAAATTAAATTAAATTTAGCTTCATGTAACTTTTGTGCTTTTGGTTATTCCAAAGTGTGTATTTTTAAAACAGGAATATTTCCAGCTCCTCAGCATCGCAGGGTTTTGAATCTGGAAGGACTTGGGGGTGACTCAGGAAACCTCTTGGCCCTGGGGCGGGTGATGGGCCCCGCTGGGGCCCTTGTGCCCTCCTTGCGTGGCCGGGTTTGCAGGGCTGCACAGGGCCCCGTGCCCTCCTTGCCGTGCCCGGCTCCTCTGCAGGGTCTGCACA